AATGGCAGAGCCAGTCATCATGACATGTCAATCCTTAAACTTGACAAATGAGAGAGAAAAGAGGGGAAAGGGAAAGGGAGGGGGGGTAGAGAAACACAATCTGGCTGTGTTGCTTCATGAGTATCAAACCATTATCCAGATATGAGAAGTAATTAACATTTGGGCTTATGTGGAAAACCTCGTTGGGGAGCGGGGGAAGACACACATCTCACCATCTCTACGAGGCCAATAGTTAATTGGATTTCAAAGAGTAATCCAGCCTTAAGTCATACACAGATTTTGCCAGCTGTTTTAGTCGTGCACGATGTCAGACCCCCTTTCAGCTGATGGAAGTGGGGGGCTGGATGAGTGCAGTGGCTGGAGAGGAACCTGGCAAAAGTGGTGACCTGCCATGCTGAACATAGTCCAGGACTCCTTGGAAGGACAGTAGCTCAGGGGTGGCAAATCTGCCTTGTAGGCAGAAGGCCCCTGGCATCTCAAGACAGTCCTCTGAAATCCTAGAGAGCTGCTGACGGTCAGAGTAGACCAAGGGTCTGATATAATACGAGGCAGCTTCCTTTGTTCAAATGGAGGAAGAGTCCTCTAATAACTGCAGGAGGAGAAGGAGATTGATGCATGTCCTGGCTTATTCCGTATGGGTTTGTGGACACTGAAGCCATCTTCTTATCCCCTGAACTACAAGGGGATACTCCTGACACAAGATCCTGGTATATGGCTCACAGGCTCCTGGAGGGATCAAAAGAGCCTTTAGGAGAGATCCTTGCAGCTGGAAGCCCAATACTAGGAAGGAAGGAAGCAACAACAACAACAACAACAACTGTAGAATAAGACACCATCTGTTTAACTGACCAGCAGGCTATAAGCAAGGGTGGTTGATGTGCCAGTCCATTTCTACCTAGCTCAGCTATATAACTCAGCAAATTGCTCCAGGACTTTGCTGAGGCAACGTGGATGCTTAACCTAAGCTTCAGGAGTGCTGTCCATGGTACTGAACCTCCACCTTGATCGCTCTCCAGGGTGCTGACTTTTCCTGGTCTTGCTTTCCCGTATTACCCTGCCTGGGGAAGCAAAAACAGCTCTTCTTGCTTCGGCCATCATCGCTCATTGGTGGTGCTCTGTATTCCTGCTTGTTTTCTTTAGGTTCAGCCTGTATGCTTGTATCTACAGAAATATGACAAAAGTCACCAAAAGTGTCCTGTGACACTTTCTTCTAAGGGAAAAGGGTCCACGTTAAACATGCTGGCCTTCAAACTTCCTAGAGTTGGGGGAAATGAAGAGCATGAAACAGTATGATATATATATATATATTTTAAAAAGATTGATACATTTTCCAGCTCTCTTCTGATGAAACCCTGCTTCTAATCTAATGTAATTAGGCTTGGCAGACTGAACAAGGAACTCAGAAGCTTTTAAGACTAATCTGCCTGATAGAAGTGATTCTGGGAGATGACAACCTTCTTAAAAAGACAACGCAGACATTTCCCAAAGGCTGAGAGTTAATGCTTCAAAAGGTGGAAGGGAGTGACTGTGTCTGTGTGTCACAGAGAGACCGACGCAGTGACCTTTTCCATGCTATCCGACAGGATTTTGGCAGCCTCTATCTGAATCAGAGGGCTTTGGAGGAAACTTAAAGCTGTTTGCAGAGGATCTAAAGTAATAATCCAAATTCAAATAAGAGCTCTAGAATAAGTGAGAGATAACATGAAACGCACCAGTCACTCGGGATGAAAGTTGTCAGCCCCTTTTGTAATTTTTACAGACTTTTTATAATTTGAGGATGTTTCATTCATAGACATAGAATCATAGTATCATAGAATTGTAGAGGGATCCCAAAGGTCATTTATTCCAACCCTCCTGCAATGCAAGACTCTCAGCTAAAGCATCCATGACAAATGAACATCCACCAACCTCTGCTTAAAAACCTCCAAGGAAGGAGAGGCCACCATCTCCCGAGGGAGACGTTCCACTGTTGAACAGACACGGGGAACTCTTTTCAGCCCAAGGGCCACATGGGCAATTTTTTTGGGGGGGCGCTGTATGCCAGTGGGGTGTGTGGCCAGAGTAAAAAGGGTGTGTGGTCAGAGGCAAAAACAGGCAGAGCAACAGATGAGACTTTTGCCTTTGTTCAGCCGGCTATGCTTTAGCCACCAAAAATCCTGCGTTTCCTACACACCTTTTTCTATCTGAGGGAGATGGGCTGAGCTAGACAGACCCATGTGTGGCGATCACACAGGGTCCCCAAATGTTTGACGGTCTGTTGATCCCTGTGCCACCACTTCCCCGCTGCCACCAACCCGTTACTCTTGGGTACACACTGAGTCCAGACAGTTTTTAAAATTGAACCAAATAAACAAGTTTATTTTATAAGCGTTAACAAGTTTATGGTTTCTCAGATAATAGTCTTGTCAGTTTCTTAACTTTAGTTTCTTTACCGGCCTATACCTTCCTAATACCTTCTGACTGATTATCTGAACTGTTTAACTGACTCCTCTTAACAGATTCTCTCACTCTCTCACATCAGACTAGCCCAATCCACAGACTTATCCTCTCTCTCTCTCTCCTCTAACTCCAGATTGACTTCTTAACAACTCTAACTCTAACTCTAACTCCTCTCCTTGGGTCCTATAGGTTAGTTATTTTACAATTAGTTAACCCTTTCCTTATGAACCCACACCTATGATGTCACACACCTAGGAGGGCAAACACCACACCATGGTCTGGCAACTTCCTATGTTCCTATTTGAACCATGTCTTTCTTCGAAACCATGAGGACTGGAATCTTAGCTCAGTGGCAGAGCATCTGCCTTGCATACAGGTTCAATCCCTGGCGTGTCCAGGTGGTGCAGGGAATGACCGCTCCCCACATCAAATGGGGGGCGCCTTTTGCATGGTTGTGTGCAGCCCCCTGGATCCCAGTGTGACTCCTGGTAGTTCGGGCTGGCTTCATCCTCCCCAGGTTGGATACCTGGAGGTCTCTGGGGTTGGGGGGACTCTGCCTGTTCACACAAAAGACTCCTGCCTGAAACACTGGAGAGCGGTTGCCAGTCAGTGAAAATACTGACCTAGATAGACTGTCTTGGTGCACTGCAGCTTCCTTGCTCCCTTGACCTCCTGATCTGAGAGTGTTCCTAGGAAAGACTTGCGGGGTATCTAAAAGTAAAAGTAAAGGGACCCCTGACCATTAGGTCCAGTTGTGGCCGACTCTGGGGTTGCGGCGCTCATCTCGCTTTACTGGCCAAGGGAGCCGGCGTACAGCTTCCGGGTCATGTGGCCAGCATGACTAAGCCGCTTCTGGTGAACCAGAGCAGCACACGGAAACGCCGTTTACCTTCCCGCCGGAGCGGTACCTATTTATCTACTTGCACTTTGACATGCGTTCAAACTGCTAGGTTGGCAGGAGCAGGGACTGAGCAACAGGAGTTCACCCCGTCGCGGGGATTCAAACCGCCAACCTTCTGATCGGCAAGTCCTAGGCTCTGTGGTTTAACCCACAGCGCCACCCGCGTCCCTTCGTATCTACAGGTAGTGGCCAGGAAATGTTCTTAGGAGCAGGGTAGAGAGGAAGCACGACTCCTTGACACTTCTCCTTCTCTGTATAAGTTCCCATTAAAGGTTTGCTTCAGTGGTTGCTCCTTGGGATGGTTCAGGGAGACAGTCTCCCCCATCTATTTCTGTTGTCCCCAGACTTCTCTTCTGATGCAGATGTGTCCACATGCCCAAGCATAGGCTACCTGCTTTATAGGATTTGCAAAATGGATTCACCCTCCCTCCCCCAATTTATCATATTTGTCTTCAGGCTGTTCTTCAACTTTTCACTTAAGCCTCACCAAATCCGGGATGAACTCTCTCGTATGAGCTACGCCACTTCTTTCCCTTGAGGGGAGGGGAAAAAAATCTTTCTCTGTCGTATCTAAATAGCATTTTCCGAGCTTCTCCGATTTCCCCCTCCCTCTCCAAGCAGGATGCACTCCTATAAATCACATATTTCAAAGTATAAGGAAACAGGTTTGATATGTTACAGAGTGATTCTCTGGCAAATCTATACATGCTACAGCGACACTCTGAACCTTAGCAGGTCCTTTTCGCTATGGCTGAGTGAGAAACATATTTATAAAAATTCATAGCCCTGTCCCTGCGGAGCAAAATGGAGAGACAAATAGTTTCCTGATCACTCTGGAGGGAAGGGGAAAAGAATATCATTGCATCTGAATTATTTAAAAGAGCATTTGTTGGAATTATTCAATATTCCTTCCCTACACACTTATTTGGTATGCAATGCGATATTAAATTCCAATTTAACAAAGGCTAAGGGTGAGTTTACACAATCAATAGGTGTAGTAATCTTTCCATGGTTTGTTTCCTGGTTTGATGATCTGATACCTGAGACTCAAATTTTAAAGATTTGCTAGCTCTGGATGGGCAAGCATGGCCTCACCATTGGCCAGTGTTGTAATGCTTGTGGTCTGTCACTAGATGCCGCTATGTTGCTCTTTTCTTCAATGAACATGGGCAAATTACTCCAGCAGCAACCACTGGCACAGAGAGATGTGAATTCAGGAAGGGAAATAAACATGCCAGCCGTCCCTACAATAATTTATTATGCTCTCCATTTCAGTGGGAGCAGAGTTCAGTCAGCATCCTGCAAAGTAATGGCGAGGAACTAGGATGGGTCAGTCATGTAAGACAGGCTTTTATGAAAGAAGGACAAAGCCAGGGTATAGAAAGAGGGACTTTCAATATATATATTTTTTAATTGTTCCTTTCTCCTCCTTGTATTTTAAATTGTTCTTCTGAAAGCTTTATGTGTGCCCTGACCCCTTATGACGACTCTCATGCTTAAAAAGCTGAATGGGGTCAGAGAGTTACTTGGCAGAGATTTTCCTCTGCTCTCTATTAATGCTACTTTAACGGATAGGCCCAATATGAAATCTTCCTCAAAGGGCAAGTATAAGTAACACAGGTCAAGAAACATAAATATAAATAAGGTCTGTTTCTAGGGAAGTGATGTATCTTAGGGGTAGAGCATCTGCTTTGCATGCAGAAGGACACCGGTTCAATCCCCAGCATCTCTAGGTAGGACTGGGAATGTCCCTTGTCTGAAACCCTGGAAAGCAGGGCAAAACTGAACTTGATGGACTAACAGCCTGAGTCGGTATAAGAGAGCTTCCTATCTATCTGTCTATGTATTTATCTGTCTATTATCAAACAACAGAGTTTGTTCTGGTCTTGTCAAGAAGCAGTTAGTCACCAAAAACACTTATTAAAGTGTCTAACAAAACAGAGATTCAGTTCTTAAAACAACAGTTTAAGCTACTGCCTTCTTTAGGTAAAGGTAAAGGTAAAGGGACCCCTGACCATTAGGTCCAGCTGTGGCCGACTCTGGGGTTGCGGCGCTCATCTTGCTTTATTGGTCGAGGGAACCAGCGTACAGCTTCTGGGTCATGTGGCCAGCATGACTAAACCGCTTCTGGCGAACCAAAGCAGCGCACAGAAATGCCGTTTACCTTCCCGCCGGAGCAGTACCTATTTATCTACTTGCACTTTGATGTGCTTTTGACCTGCTAGGTTGGCAGGAGCAGGGACCGAGCAACGGGAGCTCACCCCATTGCGGGGATTCGAACCACTGACCTTCTGATCGGCAAGTCCTAGGCTCTGTGGTTTAACTCACAGCGCCACCCGCATCCCTTTTCTTTAGGTAAAGGTAAAGGTACCCCTGCCCGTACGGGCCAGTCTTGCCAGACTCTAGGGTTGTGCGCTCATCTCACTCTATAGGCCGGGAGCCAGCGTTGTCCGCAGATACTTCCGGGTCACGTGGCCAGCGTGACAAGCTGCATCTGGCGAGCCAGCGCAGCACATGGAACGCCGTTTACCTTCCCGCTGGAGCGGTCCCTATTTATCTACTTGCACCCAGGGTGCTTTCAAACTGCTAGGTTGGCAGGCGCTGGGACCGAACGACGGGAGCGCACCCCGCCGCGGGGATTCAAACTGCCGACCATGTGATCGGCAGGTCCTAGGCGCTGAGGTTTTACCCACAGCGCCACCCGCGTCCCTTTCTTTAGGTAGGAATAGTCAAAAAGCCCAGAGAGAGTACAGAGAAGGTAAACCCACATGATTTTTTTTAAAGCTCCCCTCCCCACAACAAAGCAGAGCCACAAACTATTATAGCTCAAAACACACAGATGACCCTTGAATCCACAAGAAGCCCCCATGATACGTTCTGCAATACTAAGGTCAATGCTTCCAACCATATTATCAGTTTGGTAGAATGACCACCATGGTCTTTGATGCCCCTCTTCATCCAAGGAAGTGGATGCTTTAACCTTTTGTGAGCTCTGGATACCACTAATTCTGAATCCTTCTTGATGAGGATAATGGTCACACCCACATCCTGCATTTAAAGCACTTGGCTTCCCCCAAAGACCCCTGGGAACTGTAGATTGTTAAAGGTGCTAGGAATTGTAGCTCTGTGAAGGATAAACTACAGTTTCCTATAGTCTCTGGGGGAAACCATAGTGTAAATGTGACCAATGCCATTTGAAAACAATTTGAAATATTTTGCAATTTTCTATAGATTTTGTTTTTACAGATGGGAGAGCCACTGACTAATGCCTGGCTAAATAATGGGACCGGGATAAAAAAATAACGGACCTGAACTGAACTTCTGCACCACCCTTATCCAATACGATACTCTCCAGATGTTTTGGACTACATTCCTACAGGCCCCAGCCAGCTAAGCTGAGGTGGTGCACCAACGAAAGAATCAATAGAAGCCACATAAGAATGTAAATAGAGCTGGGTTGCTGCATCAGGCCAAGGACCCAATTTGTTCAGAACAGTAATCTCACATTGTTCATATTCTCTAATGAGAATCTCACAAGCAGGACATGAGTGTATGAGCACTCTCTTCACTTGTGATTCCAAGGAGCAAATATTCAGGACACACTGTGTCTCACCATGGAGGCAGAACACGGCTATAGTAGTAGAAAGCTATGGTTTTCCCAGTAGTGATGTATGGAAGTGAGAGCTGGACCATAAAGAAGGCTGATCGCCAAAGAATTGATGCTTTTGAAGTATGGTGCTGGAGGAGACTCTTGAGAGTCCCATGGACTGCAAGAAGATCAAACCTATCCATTCTGAAGGAAATCAGCCCTGAGTGCTCACTGGAAGGACAGATCCTGAAGCTGAGGCTCCAATACTTTGGCCACCTCATGAGAAGAGAAGACTCCCTGGAAAAGACCCTGATGTTGGGAAAGATGGAGGGCACAAGGAGAAGGGGACGACAGAGGACGAGATGGTTGGACAGTGTTCTTGAAGCTACCAGCATGAGTTTGAGCAAACTGCGGGAGATAGTGGAAGACAGAAGTGCCTGGCATGCTCTGGTCCATGGGGTCACGAAGAGTTGGACACGACTAAACGACTAAACAACAACAACAAGAAGCTTTCTCCATGCAGGGTGTTTTACATGGAGGAGCATGCAACCCTAGCGGCCTGCATACCAAAGGGCTCCAGCGTTCTTCTGCCACAACCAAGCACCTTGTTCTGTTAGAATGGCTCTTCCTCGTCTCCAGCTCACAACCACAAACCTCATTAAAGATTTCCCTTGTAGTTAGGGATGAATGATTCCCCTTCTACGTTGCCACAAAAGTAACCATGTACCACAGCACACCAGATGTTGCTGGCATTGTTGGATTGGAATATATGGGTGCGTAAATGCACATGCCAGAGTCAGCCGGCAGATGGCATTCCATATGGCTGTGGCGCCTGCACAAAACTAATGAACGCAGAGCAGATGTTTTTCGAGAGCTAAATAATGCAAACAGAAGCCGGTGCAATCAATATACAGCCCTTATATCTCAGGCGGCTGCACTCTGCCAAGAAAGGCAGGGAGTGGGCATTTAAAAATAAAATAAAATAAAGCTCAGCAACTACTTTCACAGAAGAGAACAACAATGCAAACTGGATTTTAATCATGCAGGCTGCGGGCTGTTTCCAACTTACAGCCCCCCATATTTTGTCCTTAAAGGCAGCAGAAGTCATTTTTAGAAACACCAAGCTGGGTTCCATGCCATAGAACAATCTCAAAGGGAGCAAAGGGAGCCAGGGGTCCCTTATAGAGTGTCCTTTGATGTGGCAGCCCCTATTCTTCGGAACTCCCTGCCTATTGATGATATTAGGCAAGTACCTTCATTGAACTGTTTTCAATGCCTGCTGAAAACTTTTTTGTTTGGGCAATCTTACATAGATATGCATTTTTATTATGCCCATTTGCTTTTTTAAAAAAGTGATCTCCTCTATATTTTGATAATTTTACTATGTCTACTTGTTTTTATGTTGAATTTCATTGGTATGATGAATATTTTATACATTTTTTATGAAAACCGCTATGAGGTTTTTTTTTATTAAATGATCTATCCATCCATCCATCTATCCATGCATCTATCTTGTTAAATAATAAAAAGGGAAATAAAGCAAAAACCACTAGCTGTTTTCCATTTTTAGTAGTGTTGAAAAATGTTTTCCTTTTTTGGGGACAATTCTTTTGCAAATGATGTTTGCCTATATTTCTATATCTATCCCTCTAGATGATGAATTACTTTTTCATGCATCTTCTTTCCCAGGTTACTTCACTTGCTGTTAGTGATGTCATCACATGGACAAATCTGACTGGCTATCTAATGTAGTGATGTCATTCACTGGGTGAACACCCATGAAATGAATCCATAAAGCATTGCCCTCAGCTGGCTTTGTGAAGTTGTCACAAAGTTTGGCGATGAGCACTGTGACATCATTCATTATGTGCTCTCTGCGATCACAATCTCCCCAACAACAGTTCCGTAGCAATTAGGGGAAAGCCTCTGAGCACACTAAAAATATTAGAATTCAACAACAGCAATTCCTTCTTTGTACTCACATTCCTAATGCATCTTTTCAGTTAACAATGTACAGTGGTATCTCGGGTTACATATGCTTCAGGTTATAGACTCTGCTAACCCAGAAATAGTGCTTCAGGTTAAGAACTTTGCTTCAGGTTGAGAACAGAAATTGTGCTCCGGCAGCGCGGCGGCAGTGGGAGGCCCCATTAGCTAAAGTGGTGCTTCAGGTTAAGAACAGTTTCAAGTTAAGTACAGACCTCCGGAAACAAATTAAGTACTTAACCCGAGTTACCACTGCATACTAATAACTTGGGTGGCCCTCAACCACAGAGGGCCCTAATCCTGCACATTCGGTGCATGCCTATAATTCTGCTACTGCCTCCTGATGAAATGGCATCTGCAGGAGTCCCTCTCCTTCAGAGTACAGTGACCAATGAGGGTATAGAAGGGTATAGAAGTATCTCAGTCCCATACCATACAAGGTTTTGCACAGCAGTATCAGCATCTCAATCTTTGTCCAGTTGATAAAGCTTTGCACACACCCCTTCTCCAGAATGTCAAGTTTATCTGATTTGGGAGCAAATTGCCCCTACCAGTCCATATCTACAAATCTGTGTGTTCCAAGCTGAAATTGCAGACCTAATTTGTTGCTCTTCAACCACGGACCGACCAATTTTTCAAAGCTGGCATGGACCTAAAAATAAAAAAATACACACAGAGATATTTGCATTAAAGGCTATTGGAAAAACAACAACGGGCTGCATCCTTGCAGCTTTTCAAGGCCTTGAAGGAAATGATCAAAGGAGGCAGTGGAAAAAACACAATACCAAGATATTCGGCGGTATTTCTAGATTGTTTGATAGCTTGAAAATAAGAAAGGAACTGGATTTAGAACAGCAGTAGATTTTCTTGTCTAGCACAAAAAATACGATGGTTCCTACATTGTTCAACATAGGCAAAAGATGAGATGAGAGAAATGAAAGATGTCTGCTTCTAATGAAGGTGGCAAAAGAATAAAGAAGAGAAAGTTTGTTCCTATTACTATCACAAGGACTAGCATCAAAATCAAATACATTGCTGTAGGGAGGCCATAAAATACTCTGGGAATAGCTGTGGCTGTTTAAAGCTCATTGCTCCCCCAAAGAATCCTAGATACAGCAGTTTGCCACCCACAGAGCTCCAATTCCCAGCACCCTTAA